CTTATTAAATCTTATTAGTTGAACAATTTAGAATTTATTTATGTTTGTTAATTGTGTTTTTTTTCAATTTTTTATTGTTTAGTTTTTTATTAGTTAGTATGGAAAGTCAAGCAACTGATGATTCTATTAAATAGTTGGTAAGTATTATCAATACTTTAAAATATTTTATCTTTATGACTTCTAATTTATATTTCATTTTTATGTAGACTTGAAAGTTTGAAGCAAATGAATTATTGATATGAATTATCGAAGTTTTACTAATAATATTTACTTTTTTGTATTTGTATTTGACAACTTATTATTTATATGTTATTAAGTTAGATTAAATGTTAAGATTGAACTTGGTATTTGTATATATTTTTATTATTAATATTAGTATCTACTTTCAAGAGTATTTGTGTAGTATTATTCTAAATGTTAAAAAATTTAATTATAGTACGGAACCTAACTGAATCGAACCCGAACGGTTCCAAAATTATATTTGGAACCGACGGTTCTATTTACTAAATACCCAAAATTTTTTGAAACCGAACAAAACTGAACCGAACCGATCTGCGCCCACCCCTAGGCAGGGGTAGGGGGTTGAACTTTCGGAATATAAACTTGTATGTTTGGTATATTGCTATTTGACAAAGTAATTAATATAAATCTCATGTTTTTGTGTTTGTAATCATGCTTAATCCAAATATAAAATATATCAATACTTTTATAGACTCGTTCTCGAATCGACAACATAAATTTTTTTCGATAATTTAATTAATTTGCCTTTTAAAGTAAGAATTGTTCAAAATAAGAATATAATTGTTGCAAGCGAAAACTAATCACTTAGAGCTTGTTTGTGAGGGATTAAAATCAGATTAAAATTGAAAATATAATCGTTGGAGTTGACTTTTATTAAACAAGTGGGACCCAATAACAACTATATTTTCAATTTTAATTGAATTTTAATCATTATCAAACAAGCTCTTATTCTTTTACCAAAAAAAGTAGTGATTGTGTGATTCTAGCACCAAAAATAAATGTTCGCTTGATATCGAGGTGGGGTGATAAATTTTGGAATCGTTTTCTCTCGCCATATGTCAACATCAAAATTTATCAAAACGAACCATTAATGCTTTGAAAATTACAAAATTAGAGGAAAGAAAGGCAATTCCACATTCAAATAATCAATTGATTATCTAAAATATCATTTTCAAAAAAAATAACTTTATACTTTTCACCAAAAAGAAATTATCAACAAAAGACAACCTTCAAATTCAAAACGAAAAAGAATCAAAAAGTAAAGTCAGGCGCGGCGGGCTGGATTTTTCAAGATTCCATCACAATGTGAACCCCACACGTGACACCAGCAACCCGTTATGCCAATCAGATATGATACTATGAATAATGAACTTATTATGTGGGACCATCTTTGTCATTTCCATTTCATTTGAATTTACACTTTCATTTGCATTTGCATTTGCATTTTAGGTGGGAGGAAAATTGAAATTGAGCATTGCTACTTGTACATAATAATATGCACATCAAGGTGTCCTCCCCCTCACATGGGGGTGGGGCCCACTTGGAGATAATATTTTTTATTCAAATGGGTCCCACCCTCATGTGAGAGAATGGACACCTTGATATACATATTATTATGTACAAGTAGACAATTCCAAATTGAAATAGAGCCAGTAAGACACATAAGTGGTGTGAGGGTGGACCCCCTTTGAAGATTTGACTTTGACCAAAATGAGTCTATGGGTGAAAAAAAAAGAAAAAAAAAACTCATAAAGAAAGAAGCAAGAAGAAAATTCACACTTTCCTCCTCCCTTCCTCTCAATACTCACAATTTTTGAACTATATATACGCACCTCAAAGGCTCCTTTCACAAACCCGCAACTCTATTATTATTATTATTATCTCATCCAACTTGAATTAAAACTGTCTCTGAATTCGATATTTTTCAAGAAAATCTTCACCCCAAGAAAGGTGTGTTTTCTTAGATTCAATACTTCGTCTTTATTAAGTTTTGTTTTTAGTTGGTTCCTTGATGTTTATCTGCGTCGAAGATTGAATTTTATGATATGGTTTGTGTTTAGTTTTCTTGTTTCAACGTTTCGAGACTCGTTCAAAGAGTACCCACCTTAGATGAATCATGGATTTGTTAGATCTTGAAGTTTGTGATTCATGTGAGAGTGCTAATTTTATCTAATTTTTTTGGTTATTTTTCAGGCTTTCATGCGCAGTGGTTCAAAGAGCAAAATTTGCCCTTTTGATTTGGAGATGGAGGCTGAATTTCAAGAGAATAAAGGAAGGGTTATCTTTAGAAATTGCTCAAAGTTGCTTGAGTTGGCTGCCACAGACGATCTGGATGGTTTTATATGTGAAGTAGAAGAGAGGGGCTGTGATATTGATGAGGTGAGCTTTTGGTATGGCAGAAGCTTTGGCACAAAGAAGATGGGGTTTGAAAAGAGGACCCCTGTCATGATTGCTTCCTTGTATGGAAACACTGAGGTTTTGAAGTATATTCTTGGAACTGGAAAGGTTGATGTCAATAGATCATGTAGCTCAGATGGAGCTACTGCTCTCCATTGTGCTGGTGGTGGTGGATCGTGGTCATCGGTCGAGGTTGTTAAACTCCTGATTGATGCCTCTGCCAATCTCAGTGCTGTTGATGCCAATGGGAAGAAACCTGGTGATCTGATTGCTCCTTTTATAAAGTCCTCGAGCAATTCGAGGAGGAAAACTTTGGAGATACTGTTGAATGGCTTAAGCGCCGAAGCTGGTGATGAAGAGGACATAACTCCTACAGCCGAGAAAAAGGAATATCCCATTGATATATCTTTGCCAGATATAAACAATGGTTTATATGGAACTGATGAGTTCAGGATGTACAGTTTTAAGGTGAAGCCTTGTTCAAGGGCTTATTCTCATGACTGGACTGAGTGCCCTTTCGTCCATCCCGGTGAAAATGCAAGGAGGCGTGATCCAAGGAAGTATCACTACACTTGTGTGCCTTGCCCTGAGTTCAAGAAGGGAACTTGTGCTAAGGGTGATTCTTGTGAATATGCTCATGGTGTTTTTGAGTCCTGGCTTCATCCCGCACAGTATAGAACCCGGCTTTGTAAAGATGAGACTGGATGCTCCAGGAAAGTATGTTTTTTCGCGCACAAGCCTGAGGAGCTGCGTCCATTGTATGCTTCTACAGGTTCAGCCATGCCTTCCCCGAAGTCTGTTTCAGCCAATTCAATGGACTTGACAACATTGAGCCCGTTGTCTCTTGGTTCATCTTCATTGATGTTGCCTAATACTTCTACACCACCAATGTCCCCTTCGGTTACCTGTTCATCCCCCATGGGTGGTGGCCTCTGGCAGAACAAGGCGAACCTTTCACTGCCTACACTGCAGCTCCCGGGTAGCCGGCTGAAGACGGCCTTGAGTGCAAGAGATATGGAGTTGGATAAGGATTTGCTTGGATTGGAAAAAATCCGTACCCAACACCAACAGAGGCAGCAGTTGGTCGATGAGATGGCCAGCCTCTCTTCCCCATACAGCAGAATCGGCGACATGAAGCCTACTAATCTTGATGACATTTTCGGATCTCTCGATCCTTCATTAGTATCTCAATTTCAATGCCTCTCGCCTAATGTTAATAATGCTAACACCTCCAAGTTGCAATCCCCGACCAGCCTTCAGCATCGCCAGAACATGAACCAACTCCGAGCAAGCTACCCTTCCAATCTCTCGTCCTCTCCAGCAAGGAAGCCCTCCACGTTCGGGTTTGACTCCTCAGCAGCTGTTGCAGCGGCAGTCATGAACTCAAGGTCATCTGCTTTTGCAAAGCGCAGCCAGAGCTTTATTGACCGCGGTGGGGTCAGCCATAGGTCTAGCCTTCAAGGTGCAGCTAATTCCCCAACTGCCATGTCATCCAAACTATCAGATTGGGGCTCTCCGGATGGGAAATTAGATTGGGGCTTCAATGGCGACGAGGTGAACAAGCTTCGAAAATCAGCATCTTTTGGTTTTCGAAGTAACGCCTCTGCAACAACAGCAATGACTCAATCAAATGTGAATGAACCGGACGTCTCTTGGGTTAATTCATTGGTAAAAGATGTGCCCTCTGCTAGTCCCAGGCGATATAGTCCAGACCAGAATCATGGAGGGGTTCATGATGTGGTGCCGCATTGGGTCGATCAATTGTATTTAGAGCAAAAACAGGTCGTGGCTTAAGCCTGGATCATCGTTTACTAGGTTGAATTATTCTTTCAGATTCTTATTCATATCTTATATTTTTAGATGGTTCAAGAGAAACACATAACATTTGGTTTGGCAGAATGACATCTGATCATGTATTGCTTCAAGAGTTGAAAAGTATTGTAGCCAAGAAAGAATTTTTTTTAAAATTTTTTTTTGATATTTTTATCTTTACTTTGGGAGATAGTTTTAACTTTTATGTATTCCTTAACGTTGAAGAGAGAAGGAAGGAATTCCAAGATAATTTGTTGCATTGTGATTATTGATTCCAATATTAGTATTCTGGTATTACATACTAATGAAAAGTGGTTTCACAATCTTTTTGTTCATCTTAATAGCAAGTTCAAGTCAAGAATGATATTCAACACCTTGTGGGTCGTAAAATTACTAATGATCATGCTACATACAGTGGCAGACCCAGCACCTTGCGAGGAGGTGCAGCCGCGCGTGTTGGGCTCCGCTGGAACAGTGGATAGACTATGGAAGCCGGAAGGAAGGGAATAATTTGAAGACGATCGGATCTAGTTGTTTCTCTTTTTTTTTGGTAAATTTGGGCTTATTCCTGGCTTTCAGCTATGGGCCTTTTTAAAATAACAAGGCCCAATCCAAATTGAATGGATCAATTACCAATTTAATCCATATGAATTTTGTCCATTGTTTTTGTAAGACCGCGAGAGGAGAAAAAAGGGAACGAAGTTGAGAAGAAACAGAATGCACCGCACGCAAGTAGTCACAGTCACGACAGATGGACAGCACCGCATCGCAGTGAGCTCAGCTGAGACTCCGGAGTTGGGGTCCAGTGGGCTGTGAGCAAAAAGCCCCGGATCTGTAACTGCACTGACACCAGACCATCGTCCACCTCGACACCTCCTGATGACTGGAGTCACTGGACAGTTTTCTCAACTCTCCTTCATTTTTTTTTTGGTTTTACAGTTTTTTTTTTTTTGGCTTTGGAAATGTAATTTGTGTTATTTTTTATAGTTATGAATATGTGATTTGTGAATTTGTAATTTGAGATAAATAATTTATGTTGTATGAGACATTGAGTTGTGTTATAATTTATAATTTATGAGTTTTGATTTGTGATTTGTGAATTTATTATTTATGCTAAGGAATTTAGGGTTTGGGGTTTTAAAAAATTCAATTGAGAAGATGTTGGACTCAATTAAACCATATGTGAGGGTTTAGTGCATTTACATATATATTGAATAAATTTTAATATTATTTAATTAAATATTAATAAACGATCTTACTATTATGATCATTGACGGTCAACGCTAAAGGTCTGCCCTAGGTGAACGTAAAATCTGGGTCCGTCACTGGCTACATATACATCATGTTTTACATTGTGTCACGTGGTAACAAACATTATTGGACAGTTCAAAAAAATAAAAAAACATTTTACCCATCCACGATTTTTTGAAAATAAATGAGATGTCAAACGTAATGGAAGCCATTGAACGTAGACGTAACATTATTCAATTACTAATGCACTTGTATTAAACGACTTTTGGATGGTGTCTATTCACTTTATCAAACACACGTAAACTGCCCAGATTTTAATATTTTCCTGCTCTGATATTCATTGATTTTCTTGTAGAAGACTAGATTTTAGTGTTGCAAGAAATTATACAAGGCTCCTAGAATGTAAGGATCCGATTTGATAAATTTTCTGGTAACTCGTTGTCTTTGTATATCTTCCATGACCATATTGTCGAATGTCCTAGCTTGTTAATCAAATTCATGGGTCGGATTGTTTGAAAATTTAGCCGGGTAGGTAAAAAGTTGTAATAATCTTAGGATATTTTGGTTTTTTAAAAATGTGCTTTGAAAGTGGGTTAATTATTTTATTGCCACTAAATACAAAATGCTACTATTTAATAATTGAATTTAAAAATGTATTTCAATAGTCACTGAACTATGAATCGTATTACCCATCAATCACTCATGTCGATGCCGTTTGTTGAACCTAACAGATCCATCCACGTGTCAAACAAATTTCTTACGTGAATCGTATTAGACATCCACCCAAATCTACGTAAACAAAGCGTCTTTGTAAAATGCAATTTAGGTTGCGATTTTCAACGTCTTATCGTTAACCTCATTGTAGAATATGTGAATTCTAGCTATAAGATTTTGAAAACCACTTTTTTCAAATACACTTTGCTTACGTGATTTTGGATACATGCCTGATATTTTACATGTGGAAAAATCAATTGATTTCAACAAACAGCGTTGATTTGAGTAATGAATAAATAATACGGTACATAATTCACTGATTATTGAGATACGATATTAAGTTTCATTATTAAATAACAGCACTCGATATCATTCAAATAATTAGAAAAATGCTAGAAGTACACAAATGTGTACATAAGGGTGTCCATAATGGACACCCGACGCCCTCCCATTAGATGGAGTGTTGGTGGGTCCGGCACTCTCTCCAATGGGAGGGAGCCGAGTGTCTATTATGGACACCCTTATGTACACCCTTGTGTACTTGTAGCGCATCTCAAATAATTAACCATCAAAAGTGTGCTAGATATTGCTCTCTGCGTGCCAGTGGTAGGTCACCATTCGATACGAAAGGAGCCTAAGATCACCCACTATGGATTTCTTTATCGGTGATGATTGACACTTCTGACTTTGAATTACAGATCGCTGATTAATTCAATTCATCAAACAAAAACACCTCCTCCTCTATGTATAGTTTTATTATGAATTCAGCACTGCTTCTGGTCCTTTTTCTCAGACAAATTTAAAATTTATTATATTTATCTTTTGTTTCATTGATTTATTATTACGCCTAGTTTGATAATTATTATTTTAAAACTTTTTAATTACAATATTTATTTTCAACCATTTATTTATATAATAAAATATTATGCACAAAAAATCTAAATTTTTTTACTACTTTTTAATCACACATTCTCAAAAAAATCATTATTAAAAATTCCATTTTCCCAAAATAATGGCCATCAAACATGGGCTAAATTTTAAATCAAACACATTTTTAACAGCAACTGAGCTTTAATATTTAAATTAATAATGCAAATATATAGTTAAGCGACATAAAAATTGGTTTGTAATGAATGGTGATCAGTTGGTTATAAATCGACATACAAACTATATTAAGAATCGACGTCTACGACAGCCTATATTTAAAGGAACCAATCTTTTACTGGTAGTGTTTTGGTTGCTCCATCAGCATCGAAGCAAGTTTTATTACCAATTCTAGTCATCATGTTTGATACAATACCCTTAGGCCAGGTTTGATAAGCCATTTTTTTCCATAGAAGTTGGGAAAAAATTCAATTTTCTTGCTTTTAGATTGTTTGATAGGCAATATTTTCTAGGTAAAATATTTTCCTACCCCCACGTGCCATTTTTCCTTGATTTGAGGGAAAGCATTTTTCCACCATTTTGGTGGGAAAATGCAATTCCACGTTTCTGTATTTTTTATTTTTATTTTTTGGTAATGGAAACAAATTTTATAACCAATTGTGGAAATTTTTTTTACTTTAATAGACAATTTTCATGTAAAACAAAGTCAAACGAACACAAAATTTAAAACTTGTCAGAGTGGAAAATTATACAAATCAAACACATTCAATTAACAATTCCCTAAAAAACAATTTATAGACAATTATTTTATTTGAAATTCATTTTCTTTCCATCTATTTTCCACCTTTACAATCAAACGGACCCTTAAAATCAGTTTGTAAGACCCAAAACAATTATGATTGTTAACATTCTTAATATATTTGGTAACCACTAAATCAAGGTGCAAGTTTAATAATATAAATTAGGTGAAAAGCTTATAGAGATGAGCTGAAGACATATCAATTAAAATGATATTTGTCAAGAAGTCGAGTTGAATTCTAAGCCCCTATTTGATAGGAATTAAAATTAAAATTTAAATCAAAGTTTATAATTAATTTCAATCATATATTTTATGAATTTCATAATTTTTCAATCATACATTTTATCAATTTTTATTAGAACTTACTAAAAAATTTAATAATAATCTCAACCAAACAAGGTTTAGTTGTATTTTTATGACTGGGCGTTGGAGCCTTGGAGGTGGGGACACAAAGGCAATGTAATGTAATTTTCAATGTCGGGTTCTAGAATCTGTACTAAATTATTATGAAACGACAGCAATGTCTGGCAAAAAACAAATGATTTTTGGAGTAGCCGCCCTCAGACCCTTTATTCACAATTTTCCACCACACAAATTAAATATGGATCTCCTTTTTAGTAATTATAATTAATTTTTAAATAATGATATAATGGAAAATGTGTGGTTGAAAAAGAAAAAAAAATTATTGATGTGATGAAAAATATTATTTTATTAAAAAATGTATGGTTAAAAAAGAGAATTGATTTACTATAAAATTTGAGAATAAAAAACAATCAGGCCCTTAGAGTTCGAGTTTTTCTATCAACAATAAAGCCTTTTGGGACTATATATTTGGTTTAGGATTTTAGCGAAGGAATAGAGGAAAGCAAATCAAAATACGTTTGTTTATATTCGTTTTGGAATGGACAACGTAAGAGAGGTTTTCCTTTTAAATAGGCCTTCAACATGTTTGATTCTTGCAATACAAATCTATTAGAATAATAATTTATTGTTTAATATTAAAAAAATCAATTTTAGTTGACAGACTTACTCATAGTTGTTCTGATTGAGAAGACTAAGTCAAACTTGGAATTATTTGTCAATGTTCTTCTATTGATTTAAAAAAATGTATCTTGAGATATAGACATTCATTAATCGAGAAGGATTTTTTTTATTTCTTATTTTTATATATAAAAAAAAAAAAACTCTGCGCAATTATCTTATTTATTTTATTTCGTATTTATCTTATTGGCTTGTGTAGTCATTGTAGTTATTATTTTCGTTTTTCCGAACAACAATATGATGATCACTAATTTTAAGCACTTCATATTGAATTTGTATCCATGAGCACTAT